CGGGAACACCGAGGAAGGAATGGGTGGTTTGATAAGTCCGGCTAGTGCTGGTTTGTTGTGAGAAAAAAATAATATACCATGACTGATAAGCCCTGGCTGAAACCAACAAGCGAACAGGCTGAGTGAGTGCAAAGCAGAGAGTGTTCCACAGATCGGGCCCGAGACCCCGCAAAATGGCAACCTAAGAACACGAAGATTTGGAGTGTACATAGACAGAGCATCACACCAGTCTGCCGATTGGGACAAGTCGACAGAATCAAGGTGGAGCTCCTTCAGACTACGGAGGCTTGCAACTAAAGACGTAAAGTTTGACACGGCTAGCTGCCCCATGTCAAGCTCAGTAGTACCAAACAACATATAACCATTGCCCGGAATCTCAATCAATTCAGCAGAAACCGAGAGGTCGAGAGACACCATTCGTGAGACGGCCTATGTTTTGAGGAACTTGGCCGGAAAACTTGGTGTTGGAGAGGTTGAGGGTGGTAAGCTTAGTCAATCTCTCAAACCCGATGGACGGGAGTTCGGACATGTTGAAATCGTTCCAGCTTAGGTCGAGATGCCTTAGGGAGGTTAGATCGAAGAGTGCAAGATCAATACCTGCGCTCTCCAAACCCCAGTTCCTCAAGTCGAGGGAAGTCACGCGGCCGTCGGAATCACCGCAGTGCACGCCCGCCCAGCGGCAACAGTCCGTGCCGACCTTCCATGACTGGGGAACGCCGTGATGGAGTCCGCCGTGGTGGCGAATGACAGCTTGACTGCTTGAGCCGAAGCAACACTGTCTCCTGGTCGTGCAGGCATGAGACCTGCGCCACGGCAACAGCAGTGTGGTTGCTGCTGAACGAACCGGCCATCACTAGGTTGATTTGTAGCAGGAGGTGCAGCACTACCGCCTGTGGTGGCGCGTGACGGGCCATGGCTGTGGCGGTGGGCATATCGGCAGCAGGCTCTTTGGTTGGCTAAGACCTGTTGCAAGTAAGCTTCTGAGTTCTGCTGATAGGGGAGATACTTAGCAGGTGTTCATCGGATGTTTGGATACTACCGTGCCATGGCTTATTATATAGTACTACGCGCGGAGGCATTTGGCTCGGATGGCAGTAGATAAACCTGCCCCCCTGCAGGCCAGCAGGCATCGAGCGTGCCGTTATCATGCATGGGCCATGCTCATTCAAGTTGTTCCACTCTATGCGTCCTATCGCATGTAAGCGACAACCAAAAATTTGGATATAAATGTGCAACAGTAATAAGCAAAGTATAACCTCTGAATATAGTAACATAGTATCATTATCTCTAATAATTAAAAAAGATTACAAAATATCAAAGCTACTAAAATATAGCTCTAGGGTCTCTTTTTTGGAATTGATTAATGATATCATCTTCTATAATTGGAGTTGGGGGAACTCTGTCCGTGTCCAGTTGGAGAACTCGAGCTTCATCATTTGCTTCACCATCATCCTGTGCTTCTATAATTGCTACCTGCAGATTGCTCTCAGCAGAGAACTGGCTCTCAACCTCAACATAAGGAGGATTTGGTGTGGATGTGGAAGCTGTTTTCTTTGCCTTTGCAGCTTTCTCCCACAATGCAAATATGCTAGCACCCTTCTTCTTCATCTATGTTACAAGAATCCAATGCAAAAAAATTGGAAAACGAAATCCTAAATTTTAACTCTAAAGAATGGATCTGACACTGCTGTGTTACTGTGCTCACCTTGCTTCAACTTCAACGGTTCCGTAGCCGTGCAGGTCGCGCTCGTCGCTCGACGCCTCGACCGGACCGCTCGCGCAGCACCGCAAGGCAAGGGAACTGCCGAACTGGGGAAGGGGAGGGGCGAGCGGCGACGGCAGAGGGGGAGGCACCGAGGCGGCGGCGTGCCAGGCTGCCGGCGCCGAGGGGAGGCTGCCGTGCTGCTACGTGCCTACGCCGCCAGCCGCCACCGCTTCCGTCCTTCCGCGGATCCCAGGCTCCCAGCCGATGCGAGCGAGAGGCGAGAGACAGAGTACCGAACTGTTGGTGCTGCAATGTCCGTCGTCGGCCGCCGGAGAAGCGAAGTGGAGGGACGGGACTCGGAGGAGTTTCTGCCTTTCCGTAACATCATGGGCTTCTAGATGGGCTTATGGGCCAACTTTGCAACTTTTACAACAGCTGTATATGTATACGTATAATATGTATTTGTTTTTGTCTCAAAAAACTTGGGTATTCCATGGAATACAAGTGCATACCCCTACCGCGGCCCATGCCAGTCCCCCTCAGTGCTTGACTAGTTTACTGTAGCTTGTGGCTATTATTAAGCCCGCATGGCTTAGTTCGATCAGATCTGTCAACAGGGCGTTTTCATGCTTGAGCTTAGTTTAGCTGTGTTTTTGAGGTAAAGGCTAGCGGTCATCCTACGACGGCCATTTTAGACACAGTCTACATATATGACCGATTAGGCTATTTAGATATTTGTACATTAGTGTGTGGTGATTATACCAAAAAAAACATTTAACAGCTAGCTATATATTTTTTTATAGATATGCACTACATTAATTTTTCAACAAATTCCGGAACACCATCTAGAGTACAAATATCTGAAGATAACTAACGTAGTGGTTACAAGGAAAGAGAAGGTCATACATCAGCTGGAGTCATTGCAAAGAATATATCATCCAACTCAAATTACTTCTACCGCTACACCCCACAAGTATGCTTATCCCTTCTAATTTCTCACATTTGAAAATTTAAATTTTTCAAAAGACCTTGGATGAAGAAACGACCAATACAAAAATTGTAAATCTCGAAAAATTATATAACTTTATAGTTCAAAACTTTTTCATTTGAAATTATCTATCTAAGGAAAATTATATTTGAATTTCTCACATTTGAAATCCAAATTTTTCGACAACCTCGGATGGAGACAGGACCAAAACAAATTTTGTAGATCTCGAAAAGTTATACAACTTTGTAGTTCATAACTTTTTCATTTGAAATCATTTATCAAAAGAAAATTATATTTGAATTTCTCACATTTGAAATCCAAAATTTTCAAACGACCTCAGATGGAGAAATGACAAAAAATAAATAAAGTTGTAGATCTCAAAAGTCTATAAAACTTTATAGTTGACAACTTTTGTATTTGAATTTGTCTAGGATCCCAAATACTTATTTTAAAATCGGATAGACATAAAATAAGAAGGACGAATATCCAAACTAGATACAAAATGTCTTATGGGTGTAGTAGTTAGGGAAGGCACACTCAAGGCCAGAGGTCGCAGGTCACGGGTTCGAATTCCCACGGAATTGCGATGGTTGTGCGCTTGTGGCTGGTTGGTGGGGTCTTCCTGTAATTAAAAAAACTTTTTTTGCTTTTTATTTGTCCCGGATCTATAATTTCTAAAAAAGAATTTGTAGGGGCGACTCATTTTTCAATCGCCCCTAAAAATACCAAACCACCCCTATAAATCAATTTCTAGGGCGACTGGTCAATCGTCCCTACAAATTATTGATTTCTAGCGACGGTTGGGCAGCCGCCCCTACAAATAGTCTAGAGCCGCCCGTACAGAGGCCCCTCCGTAGTAGTGGCAACAGTGGCAACTCTGCAAGCCAGTATCTAAACTTAGGAGTCAATCTCCGATGTTGAGCACCGAGGCTAACATCCAACATGTTATATATTAGAACTAGAACCAGACTAAGGCCATGTTTTGATACCAGAGCTAATTACTAGCTAACTAAAAAATTAGCTAAAATGAGTTTTAGAGAGCTAGTAACAGGTGAACTATTTTTTAGTCAAATGTCTGACTAGTACTAGGTAGTCAACTAGCTAAGCAACCCTAGCTAACTTGAGTTGATTTTAGCTCAACTAGCAATTAGTCACCTATATCAAATAAGTAGCCCTAAGAGCATCTCCAAGAGTTACAAAACATTCTTCCAATCTAGGATTTTTAGCAAGATAAAAAAAAACCATCTCCAACTCATCTCCCAGGTGTATTAGCACTTCGAAAAACAGGCCGTCCGCACCAAAAGATACGCGCGATGCGCGTGCGCCTATCCTCCTCGCGTGAGTCCGCGACCCGACTCGTGAGGGGCGGCCGACTCCGGCCTCCGCGCCCTTCCGCCCTCCCCTTCCGGCTCCATCCATCGGCTGAAGGTCCCGACGCTGATACAATGCACATGATCCCCGCGTTGCATACGTCCTACTGAGGATGGTCACTTTCCTCTGTCGTTCCTCTGAAACATCGCCGGCGCCGCCGTCTCCTCTACCTATGCTTTGTGATGGTCAATTCACATCACAACATGATAAAAAGCATGTATGATCTAGAGTTAGAAAACAAACAGCATGTGCTTGCAGGAGGACTAATCAGCTGTAATACGCCCATTTTAGAAAAGAATTCAACTCCAGCATCGTTCGGCTTAAAATGGCAATGGGCCCTTAGGGGATGGGGATGGGATCATATCTTTATCTGCGGACATCTAAATAAGCAAGAATCCACCCCCGATGGGTATAGCGGGTACGGGAACGTTCCCTGTTTACCCGTCCCCGTTACCCGTTGGGGAACCCGACTATTTGAGCTGTCATGCAAGTATTAGACCCAAAGAAGCTCAACATAGGTATTTTGGCCCAAATATGAACAATCATATATATAGTTTGTGTGTTCCAGAACCCTACTTCAATTTTTCCTCACCATATCCGCCAGCAGCACAAGCATGACTGCCTCACGAGTGCTCGTGACCCTTGCTTCCTCAGTTCGGTCTCTCTGCCACCTTTGCTCGTCCTCCTCGCAACCTCGCTCCTTCTCCTCGGCATCTCCGAGACTTCGACACTTATATCCGGATGAAGAAGAAACGTCTCCGATTGCAAAGCTGCGACCCCAAGTGTCCTTGTTTATCGGGTATGCAGTACCCGTCGGGTATCTGTTACCCGACCGATGCCCAACGGGTACGAGGATGGACAAGAATCTATACCCGAGACAGTTAACGGGGATGATGATAGGATGAATTCCCTGTAGCGGGGAAGAGAATGCCATCTTTAGTTCGGCTTGGACATACCGTGTGACTGCTCCCTCCTGTGGACCTCTTTTAACGGATCAGGTGGCTGCTTCCTCGTCCTCTTGGAAGCTTTAGGCGAGCTCTCGGCAATGGAGGGCTGAATGTCTCTGAAGAAAGCAATGAGCTCCTCCTTGCTATGCTTGCTGACCATGTCTGGCGACGCCACGCCGTTGCCGTTGGCTTCCGATCTGATGATGGCCGACCAAAATGAGCGTGGAAAGCCTTGCCGCGGAGAACAGAAGAGGTGCACACCTGCAAGTTCAGTGACTGCGTCAAGATACATTGCTGAACTCTCAGTTCCATTTTGCGACAGCGTGCAGTTCACTGCAGCTTCAGTCAGGTGCTGAACTGTTGATCCATGCACGCTGTTGTTTTTTCTCATCGTTATTTTTTGTTTGCCAAAGAGCAGAACGAGAGATTCTGCAAACACTATTTTTTCACCATAAAAGCTCCAAAGATTGTGAAATCAGGCCTACCAACTGTGAAGTAATGAAGGTTTTTGCGGTCACCTTTGTGAAGAGAGAGATCACGGGATGGCAGCTTGCAAAGAATTTGGAAAGGTTTGGTGATGCGGCAAGAGCAAGCCTCCCATTTCTCTCCTCTTCATTCTCCTCCAAAGAAACCCCCTGGTTCGTGTCTTCCAACGGAGACAGTTTCAGGCCTGCTTCTATCCACTTCCTGACCACATGCAAATGGAAGATGACACAGACCTGGAAGTTTTGCAGAAATACCCTCCTCATCACAAGATAGAACTTTCTGAGCAATTGTTGGGAAAGACTGCAAAAATGTGTTATCAATTCATGTGCTCTTGTGAGGGGCAAAAGGCAAATGGGCAACCTAATCCAGAAAGCTATCCAGTCCAGCACAGCCACACCAAGATCACGACGTCTCACGGAAAACTTTGAACTCCTCTTCTTCCTCCTGTTTCCAATTTCCATGGGTACAACAAGTGTTTGCAACCACTGAGACTGACAAGTTGCCCAAGAGTGCAAGAGATCCTTCAGAGATAGTTCAACAGGCCGTCATTAACACATTATAGCACAGAAAAACATTCATCATGCATCTTCCTTGGTTCTTGGTTATATGTGCTGCCAAAGGTAGCACCATATCGAGAAATAACAGCTACAATATATAGAAACAAAAAAGATAATGTCTTCCAGCACAAACAAGCCTTCTTTTCTCCAAACACGTAAATTCATTTCACCATACAACAAAGATAAGTCTAGCTAGCAGCCTGTGGAAGTTGTATTGTACACACATATCGGAACAAAATAAGATCCGCCAGTAACAAAATAATCAATACTTTATCAGATCCGTTCCATGCCATAACTGATATTGCGAATTGCTAACCAATGACTTCTCAATTCAGGAACTATCTGCACCAGGCTTGTAATATCTGGATACCAGAGTCAGGACCAAATTGGTTCCAACGGTCAGACAATCTTCACTCCCTCGGATAACTGTCTGACAAACTGAGGCTACACCTTGATCCATCTACCGGAAATTATATACTTTGACCACCTTGGATGTGTCACACACAATCAAGTTATCTGAATCAGTTGGAGCAGTACACAGCCAATTTACCTGCCAACACAGAGGTCATCAAGAATTTTTTTACTGAGCCTAAGAACTTCATCTTTTAAAATACAAAAACCCATTTATTATATAGATTTCTATATTTTGTTATCAGCTGTACATATGAATAGCCAAAGACAAAAAAGAGACAACATCACAATAGTTGCAAAAATTTGAAGGTTCAGTCCTGACCTTTTTCTTTACATCAATATTCAAAACCAATTCAACTTTGCTGTTTGTTTCAGAGGAAACTCCTTTCGACCAATCCCACAGCTTCACTGATGCATCATTGCCGCCAGAAATGAGGAACTTCCCCTTCTCACCAAATACTGAAAATGCTCTGTTAAGCAGCTGATTAGTTCAAGAAAACAAGATTCGCCTCAATACACAAGAGAGCTGCATATAATGAGATATTTAACTGATACATTGACAAAATGAAGGGACTTACACACAAGACACAGCTGCGGTATGGCCACCCATCGTGTAGTCAAGATGAATTCTTTTCGCTTGACTTTGATTACAGCTCCCATCTCCAAGTTCAGCTCCTTTTGAACTCATTTTTGAAATAGCTGCCCGAGGAGGTCCCTTCGATTTCGCAGGAGCCAGTTCATACTCAAGATCAACCACATCAACAGCACCATCCCCCCTTGCAACAGCACAAACCTTGTAGAGCCCTCCCAAAATACCTTCTTCAGAAACTGCTACTGAATGAACAAAAGCAGGGTTGAAACATTGCCCTGCACTACCGGAAGAACTGCCATTTTGCAATTCAGGTGATCCTGAAACTCAGTAATGAATATTATGTTGAATTGTTGATAGATCCGAATTGGAGAGTATTTTGAGGTGAAAAACAATACTGATACAGCTTTGTCATACATGAACAGAAACTAATATTTCCATGTAAAGCAAGGTGAACCGACTTTCCGATGGACAATATGAGGGCTCAATTTACCAATGCTTAATGGAAATGTATGAGATCAAGGAACTGCTAGGATACTCTTTTACAAAGACAAAAAGAACATGGAGCAGCCTAAGTAACGCACGCTATTCACAGGTGTTCCATGGAAAGTAAAGGAGGTACCATAATCAATAGAAAACAGTGTTCGTCCTTTGGAGAAATCCCATGCAACGAGCTTTGAGTCAAGGCCACCAGTAATTGCTGCCAAATGAAAAATATTTATTATTGACAATAAAGGCATTGAAAAAAATAAGAATTAACAAAGTTTTCTAGGATTGGCTCCCTAAAAGGTTGACAAAAAAGGAGCCACAAGACTACAAGATTAAGCCAAACAAAACCCTGAAAAAAGAAAAAGAAAATGATAACACTAACCTGTCCAAGGTCTCCAAGGAATGAATTGCACGCTGCTGCAAATCTGTACAAAAATTTATCAAGGAACAACTGTCGTACATATTGCATATAGAGAGGAACTTATTGCACATTTTTAAACATAAAAATGGAATGCTACTACAAATAAAAATTATCAAAAGCATCCAGTTACACCAGATAAGGATACACTTGTGTGGGCTTCCCTTAATCTTTTATACATGCACTTCTGAATGGTATTGACAATCTGCAAAATAGACCATAACTTCTCAAGAACAAAATCATTGAACAAGTACAAGATTAATCATGCCTATCAGTGTGTTGCACATATCTTTCTTCTAACTTGAGGCATTTATTCTACTGTTCTCCAGTTCCCAAACCCTCTAGCGATCTACATGTGATTCAAAAAGTGTAACATAACAACCTCTTCTTGGTTTCAGAACAAAGCACAAATATATAAGCCGGTAAATTTGAATTCATAATGACAAAGATCTTACAGCAAACTTATTCTTCAGGAGCATCATTTGTGCCATTTTCGAAACAGAACATTCCAAAATAAATTCCATACAATATGCTTATATACCTTAAGCAGGAAAAACAGTGTGCCCTAGAATTTGTTTTACTAGTCTCATACAATAAACTCGTAAATTTTATATAAAATATTTGTCTAAATTTACTCGTGTCAGCACTACAATGCCTGGAGGTATGCAAACTCTTTCAACACAGTCATGCAACAACCTCAAAATAGCCAACACCAAAATCTGGAGAATGTGGTATTTGATATTTGTTAAAATGCAATGATCTTTGACATTTATGTTCATACACTTGCAAAATATTCTATACCTTAACATCCCCACTATCATCTGCAGCAGCGAGAAAACCTTTAGAGCTGACAGCAATCTGCATCAAAAGTGGAAGTATCAGATTCTGAATCTTTAGCTCAATTCAATGTTATCATAAAGCCTAGAATTGAATTGTAGGAGAAAGATCACAGTAGGAGGATATTTTATAGTGGTTTTGTAGAATAGCATACTACCTGATTGATTTCATCTCTATTGTAGTTATACATCTCTAATGGCTTTGATTGAGTTCCCTATAAGAAAACCACTGTAATCATGTTACTGACAAGAAACCAAGGCACAGGCGACATAATAGTAAGTTGGATCATATAACTTCAAACTAACAATAAAAATACAATTGAATTCTGAACTTACCATACGAACATCAAAGGACAATATTTCATTTCCAGCAGAGATATACACACAATCTTCATTTCCTACACAAATAATGATTTTGTAAGTGCAAAATGTCTGCACGCCCACCAAATATTCAATTCATGGATTAACATACAAAGATGCTTGTATTTGGATGGCATACTGACCTGGTTTAAAGCAAATTGAAGAAATTGGTTTATTTGCTGCCTCCATGGTCAAAAGTACATCTTTGGTGCGCAGATCAAACCAGCAAAGACATCCATCCTGAGGCGGTAGGATAAGACATGAGAACATGACAATTAACCCACCAAGGGCTCGAAAAACGGGGGAAGGGGGGCAAATAGTACAAATCATATGCATAAGATTACTGCAATAGCCTCACCGCTGGTGAGGAAAATTTTGAGCTAAAGGAGCACTACAAGGATGGCATGATTGGATTTATATTTATTTTGTCAACAACAAGCACGAAGATTTTGTTAAACGGACGGACTGGGAGGCGGATCGACCATGCAAGAGGTCTGTGCCAGGGTGACGTTGTCGCCAATGATCTTTGTTATTGTCATGGAGGTGCTGAATGCACTGATTTGTTTGGCGGAACAATGTGATATTCTCAAGCCACTGGGCCATAGTGCCATCAAGTGCCAAGCATCTGGTGCGGATGATCTCGTGGTCCTGGTCGCTCCACTTCAATGGGATTTTTTTTGTCTTGACTTGAGAAGCATTCTGGGTACATTCGACGAGAGGGTGACCACTAACCAGGCTTCGGACCAACCTGGACAAGTGCCAGGTGACACCCATCCGGTGCTCCATGGCCGAACTTGCCTTCGGTCAGAAGATTTTCGGCTGTCAGATTGCTCCTTTCCCCTGTCACTACTTAGGTGTTCCTCTCTCGATCTACAAGCTTGAACACAACAAGGAGCAGCCGTTGGTGGACATGATTGTGGATAGAATTCTCACTTGGAAGGGCAACATGCTAAATTTAGCTGGGCGGGTTACCTTGGTGAAGGTCACACACTCTGCAATTCCAATATTCATCTCCATTGCCACCTGTTTGTCGGTATGGGCCACTGAACAGATTGATCTGTCACCCTACTGAGCTTGGTGGCCTAGGTTTCCAGGATTTCTGTCTCTTTGGGTGCGCCTCAGATTAAGGTGGGAATGGCTTCACAGAACTAGCCCAGATCGTACTTGGGTTGATCTTCTGAGCCTGGCTTGATGGTTCCTCAATTAGGCACGTGGCAACAAGCTTTTTTCATGCGGTCCCAAAGAGATGTGACAGTACCATGTGAAAAGAGATGTGACAGTATGAATCATCGACCCTATGAATCATTCTAACTCCTGACTGCAGCTTAGGACAAGTCGCTAAAAAGGAGACCTACACAAGGAGAGCACCAACTACCCTATGATACCAGAATTTCCAGCATAGTGACCAAGTAGTTAGTAATGGATTGCCTTCTCTTCTCTGCCTACCAGTCTACTACCGCATGAAAATCTCATTTCTTCCTAGTTCCTACTGGTGCTTTCAACATAGCATGAAACATGTAATGAAACTGTGATACCGAATGGATATAATGGATAAAATCACAAAAAGGCATGGGGACATGGGGCATGGCATAACCTTATAAGATTGTTACCAGATAGTTCACTTTCAGACAATGGTCACTGGACACTCGAAAGAATCATCTATGTTACTAATCCCACACAGGATATTCCATCCAGTGCGTTGATAGAATGCAAGGAGGAGAACCCATGGTGCGGCTCGTTGTTCTGGCAACACGCTTAGCTCGATATGCAGTCAGCGCATGGTTTGCCACCCGACCGACAAAATGTCTCAACCGAGCACCAATTAACCAGCGACCACTGCACATGAGGTGTTCGACTCGTGTCCTCAGCGAAAGACACCATGGCCTGCACTGCAACTATTGGCCGACGCCCATGGACCACGGGGCGCCCTTGTAACAACTCCCAAAGCAGGACACCGAGTCATCGTACGACGCAGTGTTTGTTCTCGGAAGAGTAGACGAGCAGTGTGATGGAAACGCCTACCTCGCCGGAGGACGCGACGACGCCCGGGCGGGCGGAGGAGGCGACGCAGCAGGTGACGGCGCCCTTCTTGTGCCCCCGCAGCCGCCGAGGCTTCGGCTCCGCTGCAGCCGCCGGGTCCGGCGCCGCTGCCACTGCCGCCGATTCAGTCTCCGACATGGCGGCGCGCTACCGGTGAAGACACGAAGCCCTTGACGAGGGAGGAGCGCAGACCGTGCGATTGGAATTCGAACGGTTTACATCCGCTCAGCCCAGTTCCAGTTTCCAAGTGGGCAATGGTCGACGTGGACGCTGCACTCAAAATACAGCAGCTCTCATAAGAAGAAATCGAATCAAATAAACTAAGGAAGGGCTGAGACAGAAGGCAAATAAACTCACCACCTATCAGCAGTCACCACTCGCCGTCGCCGCCTCGCCGGAGCCCAGAGGTCGCCGGATCCACGCGCTATCCCGTCGGTGGAGAAGGAAGAAGAACTCGCCGCCTCGCCGGTAGGGCCGCTGGCTTCCGCGGAGGCTCGTCGCCGGCGGCCGCTGAGCGACGGCGCTGCTCCTCTCGGCGCTGGGCGGCGGCGGCGGCGCCGTGCCTGCGCGAGCCGCGAGTGAGCGTGTGGGAGGCGGCGCGAGTGAGGAACGGGAGGGGCGACGGTGCGTTGGGTTGCCTAGCCTGCGCTCCTGGGCCTGAGCGGCTCAGCCCAGACACCAGCGGGCTTTTGAGTTGGGCAACGCTAGAACCTCAGCCTGCTGTGGAAAATTTTTATTTTCTTCATATAATAGGTTTCTTTAAAAAATTCCCATGCTAAAATTTTGCAAATGTATCTCTCCCGCCGGATCAGCTAGCGGCAGCAGCTGCGGTTGACTTTTCGGCCATTTGTTCCGGTTGAAAGCCAATTGAATTGGCTGGATTTAGTTCCAACCACCTCAACTAGCGATAATTATTGTCTGTACATTTTATTTAAAATGTTAAAATTGATTTTTTTGGGGTGAAATTGCATACGGTGAAAATGGACAAAATTAAATGTCAAGCATTTCAGAATGAATCCATATTTTAAGAGAACAGAGTTACCCATATAATTGGGAGATGCTAATTTACAGGTGCCTGAAAAGTAGCCATCTCTCAGGCGACACTGTACAGCCGTTGGATTCCATCTGAGAGTTTGATCATGCACAAAAAACAAAACACGATCAACAGCTGCTACGTCGCCTGGACGGATTAAAGGAAATCATTCACCTGGTAGATAGGAAAAGTGCATATAATTTGATAATAACTAGTACTTTCTTTCGAATTCTATGATTATGAAACTTTTTTTTTAAAAAAAAGAAGACTGCCCATAGAATTTTCTAGTGCTTATAGTCAACGTGCTCAACGTAGTTTTTTTTAAGACTTCACCGGAGGGGGAGAGCCCCACCTGAATGATTTTCCATAGATTCCGGCAAGCCGGTAAATGGAGGGTGCCAGGCACCTAGAGTTTACATGGTCTTAATCGTACATGGCATTAATTCATGACAAATAAATTACACTAATGATCAGCAATGGAACGGTCTTGGGAACGAAGTTGCAGGTTGATTTTAATTAACCAAACAAAGGCGAATTTCCTGCAAATTCTCTAGTATTGCGTTCGCTATTGTAGTTGTGGGCACTTCCAGAACTTTCATGCTACGCATTTAAAAACGACATATTGATGTACAGACCGAAGAATGTAAATGACTACTTGAAGGTGAATGACAGTAGACGTGGAGCCATTCATTCGTGACTATAGTAATTACAATGCAAATGCGTAGGAATCCATGCTAGGTTAGTTTGTTCATATGAAAGATCAGATCAGAGATCACGCGCATCCCCAACAAACTGCGTCCAATGCAACCATATATGCAATGCAAGCATACGTACGTACGTAATTCCTGGTAAGCAAGCAAGCTAGCTATAGTAGGCTAATAGCAGCTGACGTCCTTCTGCAGCACCACCAAGTGCGTCCCCCGCGGCGCGTTCGGCATGAGCAACTTGAGCGGGCACGTTGCCTCCAGCCTGCTCCTCCGGCCGGCGTGCACGGGGCGATACCTGACCTCCCCGGCGATCCGCAGCTCCACCTCGAACACCCCCTCGGCGCGCTCCCTCGAGAGCTCCGCCGCGGCGCCGGCGCCTCCCAGCGTCGCCCCGCCGGGCGACGGCGACGCGGCCAGCACGCGGAACTCCTCCGTGCCCCGCGGCGGGACGCTCCTGCCCGGGTCCGCCAGGCGGGCGCCGTCGAAGCGCCTCCCCGCGAAGCGGAGCTCGGCGTCGAGCGGCGCGGCCAGCTCGACCCGCATCGCCCAGTTGCGGTTCCGGAGCTGGACGGTCAGGGAGAGGTTGTAGGCGACGGAGACGGAGACGGATGAGGCGGCGGTAGCGGTAGCGGTGCCGTTGCTGTTAGTGACGACGAGGTCGAGGCGGCTCAGCGAGGCGTCGGTGACGGTGGCGCGGACGGGGAGCGCGACGCCGAAGGCGGCGACCAGCACCGCGGCGGCCGCCAGCGCGACGAGGAAGGTGCACCAGTTGCAGATGACCTCGGCGGCGCAGGCGCAGCACAGGAGGCAGCAGCCGCAGCAGCAGCCGAGGCCGTCGTCGTCCATGGCCGGTCCCTCCCGGCCGCGGCCGATCACGCCCGGAGAACGGATGTGCTAGGCAGACAGCTTGCAAGATTCTTCTTCACTTGCTCTTGTGGAGTTGTGGCGTGGCTACTACCCAAAACCGAATAACCGAGCTCCCAACCGATCGAGAGCTTATGGTAACAATGGAAGGAGAGGCCTCGTCACGTACACGGCTTTAACCCGAGACGGAGCTGCAGAAAAGGGAGAAAGAGATGGAGACGAACGAGCGCGCACTCGCGGAAGACGCGGCGCTCGCGTCTTCATCGAGGAACCCAGAATGGAAGAAGGTTTGCCTGGCGAATTGAAGACGCATCGGGTGTGAGCAGCCAAGAACGGCAAGGCGTGCCATGGAACGCAACCGCCTTTAGTCCTTTACGACGCGGGCCGGTGAATCGAGCGCGAGGAAGGGCAGGTAGCGTCGTGCTCCTGCCGGTCGTCGTGTCGGTCGGCCGCACGGCGATCGGTTACAGCGAGACGAGACGCGAGGGGCGAGGGTCATGAACCGCCTTTGCAGTCCTCAGTCGGTCAGTCCTCACTTATGGGCTGCTTTGAGACGGAGTAGTAGTAAGCGGGCCGGAGGTTCTGGCATGGCCCAGTGGTAGTGGCTGGGCTCAGGCACTGGAGACTGCACGCGTTAGCCCATCATGTGGCCGCGGCCGTGGCCCACCGGGGAACGGACTGGAAGCCGAGTAGTCGAGGTCGACGCGCTCACACGTGGTCCGTGGGACAAGGGCGCGTCCCGTCCTGGTCCTGGATCGCGATGCCGATTCGTGGAGAAGAACTTGGGAACGTGTTCGGTGTACCGGCGCATCCGATCGATCGACAGGTGACAACGCCCGCGTGGACGTGGGGCCGCGCCGGCGGGCCACGTGTCGTGATGGGGCGCGATGGATGGGATGGGATGGGATCGGCCAACGGATGGGATCATGGGAGAGGGCACTTGTTTGTTTCCAAACACTACTGTTTGCATGGAAGCCCCCACGTGCGGCCACCACGTGCACACGTATGGTAAGGACAAGGTACAACAGGTACAGGTACTGCTACTGCTACTAGCAAGTTCCATTCACTTGCCACTCGGCACGTTACCGTGCCACCTGCCCGCGCGTGCGTAGTACCTCGGACACACTGACGGAAGCTGTCAATTTCTGTAAGACAATCCTATGATTACCGCGCTAATGATATTCCCTGGCTGCTGATCAACTGTTGGATCTGGCGAGGACAGCGGTTAACATTTGAGGCCTGTGGATCCTATGTGAAACAAAACCATCATCCTCGCAAAAGAAAAAGAAAAATAGAAAATCCGATTGACATGATTAGTTTGTCTGGTAACGCAATCTAGCAGAACCACGGTGGCGAGCATCGACGGGTTGACCGGAGAGCAAGCAAGCAAGAGATCGAGTAGTAGGCTAGTAGCTTAGCCAAAGCCAACCAACCTGCTGCACAATAATTTTGGTCCAGCTTGGCTACACGTGCGTTAAGCAAGAGACTAATGACACGATTTGTTCCAACACAATGATTCAGCTTCAGTAATTAGGAGCTACCTAGCTACTCCAATGATCCAACACACGTAGTAGTCGCCTGGCTCGAATCGGAGTCCACCATGGCAGGTAGCTAGCTTAATCCGCATTCACCTTCTCTCGTATATAAAAAAGCACAAATATAAATACAATATTCCCCCCCAAAATGATCACCCACTGCTCACGAAAAAGACGTTGCACGGCCGGGTTCGTTTTGGAGCATTGTGCACGTAGTACGCGTACCAAACATCAATCACAAGCAGCAGTACTGTATGTACACGCATAATTCCGCTCTAAAAATATTTCTATTTGCCTATAAAAAAATGCCTGAATAATTCAGAACCCAATCTCTGGCATCCATGATCCATCCTCCAATGGTGCGTTCACACTCGTCCTCGTCTCGTCGCATCGCTTGCATTGCAGGGCTACTGAATACAGATGCAATGCAATCCAACGCACGCACCATCAGTGAGGACTGAGGAGGAAGAGGAAGGATACAGTACAACCAAGCTCCAGCAGGGCAGCATGGCTGTGCGCATGAGTGTCGTGTGCGAATCATTGGCGCATCCGCTACCTCCGAAACAGAAAACAAAATAAAAATGATTATCGGAACATGGGCCCTACTAAATAACCTATTACATTATTATTTGTTTGCTAGTTAATTATTCCTCTCAAGAAGGAAAAAACATGACGTGATTAATCCATCCTTCTCGTCTCTCCGGTGAGTGTCTTCACTTAAGGCCTGGATTGCACATATCACGACCAGCCTGTTCGTTTCCAGCCAGTCAATAGTATTTTTTTCTAAAAAAAATCAGCACCAATCAACCTAAACCAGTACCAGCACCAACCAACGAACAGCTTTACGAGCTACTGTGAGTTTTTTCTTTTTGTCAAACACTTTTTTTAAAATAGCTTTATTAATAAGCTATTTTTTCTCCTCTCACATAAGGATGATGAAATGGAGGGAAGCTGAAAAAAAAATAGTTTATTCCATTTTCATCTCCCATACGTGGGTCC